GGTTCGTTCCTGGACTCTCCACCTTCTGTACTTCTCACTCACGCTCTCTCTCTCTCTCTCTCTCTCTCTCTCAAAGTGATAAGAACATGCAAGCACCACAGACACAGTAAATAAGAACAATAAGATTTCAGGCCAAAATACAGATGCCTGCATTTCTGGTTTTCTTTTCATTTTACAAGGGGTAAACCTGTTCTTTATCCCCAGTATCGAAACTCTTGCTTCCTGGAAGAAAGATATTTCGTAAGGAAAATTCTTAAAGCAAACACATCTGTTTTTTAAATCTTAAAATATTACCAATACTCACACCCTCTCCCAAGCTAAGCACTTGTAGACATCCTCTTCACATGGCTCCCTCGTCCTGGGGGCACCTTAGCGAACAGCCGACCAGCCTGTAAAGAGAAAACCCAGGATGCTGGCCAAGAAAAATAAAATGACTTGCTCAGGACCACAGGGCTTTTCAGTAACAGAGACTTCTGGTCGACCACGCGTGCGTCCTGGCCGTGACAGCGGCACTGGTGGGAGCCTTCAGAGGAGGCTACGGAGAGGCGGGACTTGACTTTCCCAAAGGTTCTGGAATCTCTTACCCCCATCACAAATGATGCGGTGTGATACAGGGATGCATTGGAGCATGAACAGGCGTAGAAGTAAAAGTCAGGAAACGTGGTCAGTAGAATAGGGGGGGAAATGCACAGATCTACTTGTGTCCAGTGGAGTTCTTGGGGGTAAATTTGGGCGCACAAAGAGGAAATGGAAACTGGGGTGTCCAGGCAGAAGGAACAGCGATGGCCAGGGAAGGAAAGTAGCTACAACAAGAGAGTGAGCTTGGAGGACAGAACCATCCCCGCCAAGCGGCCCTGGCTGAAAGACCAGGACTGACTGCTTACTTGCCAGACAAGTCTGAGAGATTTCGAGCTGGGCGTTCCTGGGTCAAGTCTGCATTTTAGATAGACCCCCGGGGCTGCTGCAGGATAAGCCCTTCGGTGTTGAGGTGCGACCCGAGGCAGGTGGAAGCAACACTAATGGTCCCTTTAAAAGGTAGCAGCCAAGGGGGGTTAGATTGAAGACATGTGAACTACTGGGGGTGTGGAAGAAGGAGAGGGAGGTGTGTTCTCAGACTTCTGGCTTAGGCGCAACGTGGGTGGTGATGCTATAAACTGAAGGCAGAAAATGGAGAAAGAAGCCCGGGTAGGAGGGCTGGCGGAAGTGTGTGAGGGACAGAGGAGCTTTGGCAGGTTGCTTTGGAACATCCATTGAGCATCTGGGTGGAGTCGTCCAGTACCTAACAGAAGCCCAACGGAGAGGTCAGAGCCGGTCACCAGCCGTCTGTAGACAATCAGAGATATTGTTGTGGGACACAGAGAAGACAAACGCCGCAAACCCCAACGTGACGCCGAGGTCGCCGGGTGAGGACTCCTGTCTCGGTATCCCCGCGGGCGGTGGCCTATCCTATTTCCGGGGGAGTAGAGGCTATTGACCAGGAGAAGAGACCTGCACGGTGGCACCTCCGCTCTGGGCAGGGGCTTCGGTTCCCTCGACTGTGTCCCCGCAGGGTTGGACTTGACGATCTCTTAAAGAATCTCTTCCAGCTTTCCTGCGCCGTAATTCTAAACCTCCCTCCAGTGTTGTAAGGCTGGTAACCGGAACGTTTGGTTTGGAGGAAGCTCTGAGCTTGAGACGAGGTGGAGGATTTGCTGGGGGCCGAGAGTGGGAGGTCAGTGCTTCAGCGGGGTTGCAGGTGCAACCCTCCGCCCTCTGATGATAATGCGGGCGGGACAGGAGTTTGAAGACAGCCCGTAGAACGACTGAACCACTGAACACGGAAACAGATGCCATGATTCCCAGCATAAGTTATGATATGGATGAGTCAAACTGAGAGAGCTAAATGTAGGGTTTCTAAGGTCCCCTCCCCCCCCCCCTTGGCGTCAGAAGTTTCCATTCGACGACAGGGAGGAGAGAAATGCTGATACAGGCAGTGTTTGGTTTCCCCAGGACTGGGGCATCCGACACATCTGAATGAAAATAGCTGCGAGGGGGTGGGGCGCCTGGGTGGCTCAGTCTGTTGAGCTTCTGACTCTTGATCTCAGCTCAGGCCGTGAGCTCACGGTCGTGGGATCGAACCCCGCGTAGGGCTCTGCACTGAGTGTGGAGCCTGCTGGCGATTCTCTCTCTCTCTCTCTCTCTCTCTCTGCCCCTCCTCTGCTCATTCTCTCTCTGTGTCTCCCTCCTTCCCTCAAAATAAATAGCTGCAAGGCCGACCCACCAGCAGGACCAGGTACGAAAGGTGGCAGGGTCCTTGGGTCCCAAGAATAAGGTGGTGCCACCCACAGGAAGATGGACGAAACTGACAGGGCCTCAGAAGGATATAATGCCTGGCATCTGGGTGCCGGTGCTCTGGGGACTTTCACCACTGGGGCCATCGCAGGAGGGCCAAGCTGAAGTGAGCAGTGATCCAGGGCGAGGTCCTAGGAGCACAGAGCCAGAGAATGAAGGAAAAGCAAGCCACACACCAGGATACCAGGAGGCACCGTGTCACCAGGGGGGGTGACAGCAGAGCTAGGCGCAGGGTTGTCATGGATCGTCAACCCAGAGCAGGCAGAGGCAGAACAAGACCTGTCCTACAGGTCACGGATGATCGTCATGGAATTCTCACCTTGGAGTTGCTTTCATGCACAAATTGTCAGCAACCGCTAGAGTGAAGCAGCCGCTGTGCCCATCCCTGTGAGCCTCGACGAGCTGCTCTTCGCCTGCCCCAGTTGACACTCTTGACACTCTTAGCCTCTCCATAGTCATGCCGTTCCCTCATCCGGGCAGCAACCACGCGGCAGGCTGCGTATCGTGGGTCAGATGCCCCCGCAGGTAGGAGGGTGGGTCGCGGTTCCCGGGTCCTTCTGTTCTCAAGGGCAACGATCAGTTTAAGGAAGAGGCAGCGCGCCGATCGCGTGGCTGTGAGTTCAGGCCTCCTGAAAATCACGCGTACCTGCGATGTACAGAGTGGTTTGTTGACACTGAGAGCGGACTCTTCTAGTTTGGGAAGAGTGGCGCCAGCAGGGTGAATAATCATTCTGTGAGCTGCGTGCCAGCACCCGAGCCGCGACGACTCAAGCGTTAGCCAGGCAGCTGTGACTTGCTCAGCGCTCTACCGTGGCCACGGGGAGTGATAGATGCCACGTTGGCTTCTAGGAACCGACATGTTGATGGCAGAGGGGCTGGAGCACGACCACGTGAAACAGAGAGTCCATGAGGTACTGATTGCTCGTGAAGGAACGCTGTGGTTGTTCAGAAACAAAAGGGCAGGGAAGGAATAAGGACAATAAGAAAATAACAAGAAACTTGGCTTTTCGCCTATCGGTTTGGCCAAGATTGAGGGGGGAAATGTTCTCATGCTATGGGCAAGTTGGCAAGAATGTAAGGAAATGAAGACTTTAAAAAATCTTTTCTTAATGTTCACGTAATTTTGAGAGAGAGAGACAGACAGACAGACAGAATGTGAATGGGGGAGGGGCAGAGAGAGAGGGAGACACAGAATCCGAAGCAGGCTCCAGGCTCCGAGCGGTCAGCACAGAGCCCGACGCGGGGCTCGAACCCATGAACCGCGAGATCACGACCTGAGCTGAAGTCAGACGCTTCACTGACTCAGCCATCCAGGTGTCCCAGAAATGAATACTTTTATCCACTCCCAGATCCAGCGTTTTGGGGGACAACTGATATGTGTCAAAATTCTTAGTACCCCTACTTCCTGAACAATTCTAACCCTAAGATTTGTCCTAAGTAGTTAACAGGACAGGTGCACCAAGGTGTGAGTTCAGGGATGCTCATCACAGCATTTTATAAAATAGTGGAAACTTGTGAGCAAATTAAATGGAATCTGCTTGAAGAAATCACGGTGCCTTCATCCACAATGAATGCTATACAGTCTTTTAACAATGTGCTGTAGTCTACCGCACTGACCTAGAAGGATGTGGGATGTGGTGTTAAGGGAAAAAGTAGCTGATGATGTTGTACGGATAGTGTAGATATTTATATCTATAAAAAAGGAATTACATTTCCGTATCTGCGTATTTTCATAGGTACAGAAACGGGAATAAAAAGGTTTCCACCAAAGTGTAAACAGTGATTTTCCTCTGGGGGGGGGGGGTGATTTGGGGGAGAACTGTATTTTCTGATTTATAATTTTTCAGTATTTTTGGAGTTCTTCAATAATGAGCATGTATTCGTTTCATACTCAGGAAAAGAATCAGGCTACAAAAAAGTGAAACAATGGCCAATATTTCAGTTACTGCACATGTTAAGAACCCAAGGAAATTAAAGAAATCTGAAAAAACTGAAGAGAACTTTACAGTCGAGATGACCACTATTCTTAACAGCTCAAAGTAATTTTTCAATTAGGACAGATTCCATTTATGTATGTATCATTCTGGCTCGCAAACTCAGTGGGTAATAACCTATATCCCAGCTGAAACAAAAAGTTTCAACCCAAAATAGATACGGTTATAAACCCATCAAAAGGGATAACTTTCAAAAGACCCCAGGAATTCAAAAAAGTAAGACAAAGGAAAAATGTATAAAATCTACTTAGCTTTTAGAAAAAAAAAAAAAAGAAAAGAAATCAAATGACTGCAAAAATACCAGCTCCAAAAATACCAAAAAAGCTTCACCAGGAGAAAATAGAAAGCAAAGATTGGCATATGGATGTCAAAAATCCAGTGTCAGAGAGGTTTTGAAACTGGTTGTGCGTCACCAATTATATATATCCAAAATCAGTGTGACAGACACTCCCTTCCAAGAGCAATGGCAAGGTTTTTTAATGCCCTAAAAGTCTCTTTTCGGTGACTGATTATGTAGTAGCCAGAACATGAGATTTTTAAATTCGGTTCATCACCGGTGACCAAATTCTAATGTAGGAGGAAGAAAAGAAAGAAAGAGAGCTGTATCTGATCCTTTGTGTCAGTTCCCATTTCAGAGGTGTCTTCTACATGAATGTCTTTTCTTCTCATCTCCAGAAAAAGCACAAAGAAGAAACTACAGCGATGGCCAGGTTGACAGAATCCATGAGTGAGTAACTGGAAATTTCTTCTTTATTTCTGGTTTTAAATGGAAAACCACAAAGTCACACAAAACCCCCATTGCTTTGTGATTATCTGTCTTTCTCGTCCATTCTTGTGATCACCGAGGTCTATTTCACGTAGACGGGATTGTGTTGCTGTTACAAGGTGCTTTACTTGAAAGTCGTCTTGTGTGGGACTGAACTCTGTGCTGAAATTGTTACCCCAGTATGGGGTTTTGTTTGTAGGTCTGTGTTGCGGATCGGGACCCACCATAATTCCAATCTCGCTTTTCGGAGGTTTAGGTACAGTCAGCTCACGTTTTATGGGCAGATATTCCATAGGCTGGATCATCAGCCTATGGAAAGAGAAGAAAGAAAGAATGGCTTGTCGTTGTTAAACCTTTCCGGTGTGCTTCCGAATTTTCAGATTCGAGGATTTAAAACTGGGGTGTTTGATGCGGAAGTAACTGGTAATGATTCAGGTTTGGAACAGATCAGTGGTATCAGGCTCTAAGCGCGTAAGTTAGATAAACGGGACACACAAAGCACTCTTAAGAGGAAAGAGGGATTAATATAATACCTCCTCCTGCAAAATGAGACATGTGGCTTTGTACGTTGAAGTTTAAATATTAAAGACCGCGTGGATATGAAATAAACAGACCACGCGGGGGTTTTTTCCCCCTTTGGAAATATGCATTGTCCTGGTGATAGAATTCATATCTCAAGTTACAAGGGAAGGTTGCAGACACTTCTCCATCATCATTCGGGCCATGAACACCTTATTAAATTCGACTGCGTTAATCTTGCCCACATTTATCTTGGCCCCTGCTTTCTCCTTCGACTATTCCTAAATCATGAGACTATTAAAATATGTGTCTTTCTGTAGCATAGTCAATGAATCCTCATCCCCCAAAGTGTACCCCCTCCTGGAAAAAAAATGATGGTAAAGTGTTCTTTACATTGAATTTTTTAATTCCTGACCCCAAACCCCTAATTTCCTGATTTCCTTTATCTCGAACGCATGCTAATTTCACCATGTAAATGATGACTCCACAGGGGGACTGCACAGCCACCCCCAGCATTTACACGCCTCTCTTACACTCATTTCTGTATCATCCCTGCCCTGTCTCTGCCTCACCCGTCTTTCTGACAGTAGTCTTGCAGACTGGAACGTTGCAAAGCATTTGCTCCTTGGTTTGAAAAACCCCAAATTGGTTCTCTGCAAGGGAGAGGAGCTAAGTCACGGAATGCACTCTTCTCAGACCTAGAAGGAAAGAGTGAAGTGGCCAGTACCGTCACAAAACTGACGAACCTGGTCAAAATATGCAGGGACCGTGGACAACACCAGCTGATTCACGATCCACAGCACGTTTGCAGATTTCGTTCTAATCTCTAACTCCAAAGTCACCAGCACAAAAGACCTGTAGATTCTCTGAATGCTGGAAGGATCGATGGCCTGGAACCCAGCATCATTTTCAACAAATGGAGTCTTGAGCGTGCGGGCAAATTGAACTGGATGGTGTTGTGTGTGAGTTGTGATGCTAATAGGTTTTATAATTAGTTCTGTGTTAGAAATTGATACTCTAGTTCAGTGAATTTTTTAACTAGTCTAACTGAATCGTAGATAAAACATTAAGGGTGCTATACGAGTCAATATTTTCGACACGGTCACAATTTCTGATAAAGGTGTTTTAATTTTTCTACCTCTGTGGGATCCAGATGCATTTAAATAAGAGCCCCCCACTGGACTGCTGATTTGTGGGGCTTCGGTTTCCGGGTTACCTCTGCAATAATTTTAATGACTTTGATCTATGAATCCATTGGCTTAAGAGAAGTCTGTAAAAATTGAATTCCAAACCCTTGGGGCAGATGAAAGGGTATTGCCATTCTTCTCTGAAAACGATTATATGGACTTGTTCAACACACAAGGAAATTTAAAGAGTGAGAACAGATCTTGGAATCGCACCCAACAGTCCAGTCGCCTGAGCCTTACAGAGGTAAAGAACACTACTACAAAAAATGCAGAATTCTTGTAGGCCCTCGCTATGAAAGTTAATCATGCAGTCAACGCTAATAAACATTTCATCAAAACTAAACTCAGGAATAATGTTGTACACAGCTATACATTGATTCTACATAGGAAATCTACAAGGAAATAAATGCATAATTATGTAGGGAGATTCTATCCGTAGGCTAAGCAAAGAATTAGCATACAATTACGACACAATGCATTTGATGGGAACATCAAATCCATGGCCACTGGGGAAAAGGGACATAAACAGAACCACAAATGCCCAGGACACAATGCACTGAATGGTTTTTCAGAGTCAGTAAACACTTTGCTTGTTAAACTGCCAAGCGAAAACCATCTGGTTAGGAGAACATCTCTGTGTTGAACCAGAATGGGATTGCAATTCTCCTGTCACCATACGGGTCCAAATGTGATCAATGGATATGCAAATACTGTAATGAAGATAGGTAACTTCTTCATCTTCCAGAGCAGGGAGAAGGAATATATTTTTCCGGGGGCTATTAATCGCCACCTCAAAAAAGCCTATGCAGCGTCCCAATTTTTTTACAAAAAAGGGCAAACAGAAGACACAGAAATGGTAGCAGGTTTTTTTTTTTTTAATTTTAATTTATTTTTGAGAGACAGGCAGAGACAGAGCGTGAGCGGGGGAGGGGCAGAGAGAGAGAGAGAGGGAGACACAGGATCCAAAGCAAGCTCCAGGCTCCGAGCTGTCAGCACAGAGCCTGGCAAGGGGCTCGAACCCACAAACCGTGAGATCATGACCTGAGCCGAAGTCGGCCGCTTCACCGACTGAGCCACCCAGGCGCCCCATGTGAGCAGATTTTTAAATGTTTAATTAAAAGAAACTTTATTTGATAAAAGTAAGATGACTTTTCAAAATATGTTTATGTCGCACGGTTGAAATGAGGAGGGACACGAAAAGGAAAAAGAAAACTAGAGAAAGGAAAAAAATCAGCTGTGTGGAGGAAGAGGGAGACAGCAAAAGTTCACATGAGAAAAATACCCGGGAAAAAAATATATATGAAAAGAGACCCAGAGGAAAGGTACAAAATCACAAGAAGCAAAAGAAGACAAGTAGGCAGAAAGGAGAGGAGGCACGGAGAGGTGTTCACAGACGGTCTAAAATTAGGAAACTGCACACTGGCCTTAACCAGCTGTGGACTTTCAACCTTTCAAAGGCTATTGATTTTTTTTACCACTGCCTGTTGACATTTTAATCTGTGTCTGCACCTTGGAAACGGATATACTCATATTTACACCACCAGAAGCCCAGTTCCAAATGGTGCAAAACAAAACCCACATTGGAGGAGATCACTCTGAGCTTGCCCCTCGGGTACCGACCCTTTACTACCCCAGCCACTAAGTGAAATCAAGCTGAAAGGCTGACCCAGTGGGGACTGCCAACCTTGTCTATAAATTGGCATATGGTGACCCAGACAAGGGAATCCCATCTTGCATCGCGCTGTCATTGGAGATGACCTTGGGGAGGGCAGGGTCTGCCCTAGCCGCTGGAATCTAAGTCAGACAGTGACAGATTGGAGATGTCCAAAGGTGTGCAAATGACCTGGGGGCTCTGGGATCATGGTCTGTCTGAGCTACCTTGGTAGGCTGTGCTTATGTGGATTCCTGTAGATAATTCACTTCCCGGGCAATGCATGCTGGTGCACCTTCCCCACACCTCGAGCTCCAGGGCACGTGTCAAATATAGCAGGGGGTGGAGAGCCGTACGACCTGGGTCCGTGAATAACGTGGATTATAACCAAATATCCGTCTTGCGCACCGTGATGGGGGTTACAGGGCGGAACGGGTAGGGACGCTGGCCCCGACGCCTCCTCCAGGACGCAGGGCCCCTTTCCAAAGCCCCCCACCCAGCACCCCGCTGGTGTCACACTTCTGCCTCCTTCCCCACAGCGCCGCGCGTCTTCGGTCGTCACCGCGGTGGCAAATGGTGCACGAGGCCGCCCGCGGCTCGCTCCAAATGCTGGCAGGGGTTGACTTTCTCGGCTTCCTGCTGCCACCTGCCCAGCGTCTCTCAGGCACACGTGCCCTGAGCGTTCCCTCTGCCAGCCACAGGATCCCTTCCGGTCCTTCCCCAGGAGCCTTTCTGCCAGGCCGCAAGGCCAACCCCGGCCGCCCCGCTGTCTCTGCGGGGCACACCTGCACAGGAAAGAGGAGTGCCGCTCGTTGCTATTCCCAAAGACACAGCTGAACGTCAGCTGTGCCCCAAGCGTTCCAGGACGGTTCCTTCCCAGCTCGGCGCAGAGGACGAGGGGGCTGGGTGGTTCCCCCCACCGCCCATAACCAGAGCCGGGGGCCTGTTCTGTGGGTGCTTGGAGGTCTCGGCCGTCCGCATCAACGCAGAGGGGATCCCTCCGGGATGCAAGATGCCGCCCAAAGTCAGCCTAGATTGGAAACGGTTTAGTGTCAGAAGAAATGAAGGGGGAGAAGCAGCTACAATCACTGCACAATGCAGTGGCTTCTTTAATCATTTCTTCCCTCCGTGTGGAGACGCTGTCCTAACCCTGGCGTCGTGTTAAGGCGGGGGAAGGCAGGAAAACAGGGTCCCTGGCCGCACCGAGCGCTGCGTTCTGGGGAGGCAAGGGACACCGGCCGCTGTGCAGAGTCTGGCCCTGGCAGAGGCTGCCGGACAAGCGTGCAGCCTGGGGACGGATGGCCCGCAAAGCTCTCCTTCCACGGACTTGCAGCGCGCATGTGCATCGTAAAGGCACCCAAAGGGTGTGGGGGTGCCACCAGGCGGCCGATGGGAATGTGAGTGTCAGGCACCCAGCACCCGGCACAGGGACGGACAGAGGTGTGAGGGAAGAGCAAAGTGCTGATGTGGGCTCGGCGAGGAGCCCGGGTGGCAAGACAGCAGATGGCTGGGCACGTGGGCACGAGTCAGATCGTCAAAGGACTAGGGCGCAGCTCAGGTGTCGAAGCTCAGGGGGCGAAGGGGTGAGGGGCGGCACTCTGAGC